TTGGTTCTGTTCTATTTTCGCGGGGGTGGGAAATTTTCTTCGTTTTGTTATAACTCCTTTACATGATGCTATTTTGAGTTGTAATTAAAACTCTTAGTATATTTTTTTGACGCTCTATCGAATGGCATTAAAGAAATTTTTGAAAGTTATCGAAAATGTCGAAAACTAGCTTTCGTCTCCACGATCCCATGTGGAAACACCGAATAATACCTTGTTTTTTGCTCTAACTATTTTATAAAACAATATTTTTAGATGAAATTAAAACTCTTAGTATATTTTTTGATGCTCTATCGAATGACGGGTTCAAAATATCAAAAAAATGGCGAAAACGCCGAAAACTAACATTCCGGAAACAGTTTAAATAGTTTTTTTTTGTTTTTGCTATAACTTTTTTATATTACAATATTTTTTAGCTAAAACAAAAACTCTTAGTATATTTTTTTGATGCTCTATCGAATGGCGTTGCAAAAATCCCGAGAAAATAGCGAAAAGATGGAAGGTTCCGCGAAGAAAATTTCCCCCCCGCACAGTTTTTCCCCCCCCGCGAAATAGAACAGAACCGGTTTTTTATTTACATTCGTCTTCAGTGATAGAGTTGGCATAGGCTTTTGGCGTTTCTTCTTCGTCGTCCTCTTCGGTTTTTGAGAGACAACCTAGGGATGGCTGGTTACCGACTTTGTGAGCTTACTTGGATTGTACTGCCACGGGATGACGATCAGCATGAATGAAAGGACGACAAGGATTGTCCCGGCGTAGATGTACCAAGAGCTCGTTGAAACTTTTCCTCGAATCATGTCGACGGCTAAGGCTTTTGTATAGCGCGAATTTGTAGTTTACCTGTGTTTACTGGGATGCCGACAAGCATTCCGACTGAAATAACTAGCGGGTCCAACAGCGCAATGCCGAAGTTGATTAGGAAGTCGAACACTAAATTGAACTGTTTAGTGATATCTTTAGAAACTTACGTAGCGCCAGGAATCCTCCACCCAAGATGAAGCCCCACGGCACATGGGCCCAATGCAGCGTTTCAACAGTGTAGGCCAGTACAAAAGCCGGGATCACATTGATGACAAGGTTCGTAAAGCCCAGGCAAGTCATGAAAAGGGAAACCTGATGGCTTTTGGTTGCTTTTAGCATGTCAGGCTTACTTGTGATAGTGTGGCGTCGCCAATAACCCTTTTGAAGACTACCTAGATTTCTAAAAGTTTTGAGGCCAATTTCTAACTTTGTAGAGGGCAGAGAAGAATGCCGAGGCAACGGCCAGCACATAGCCGATCCATTCGCCATCCCCGTTCCCGCTGGGGTCGACGGAGATCAGGACGATGCCTCCAACTCCAAGAACTACAGCGAAGGCCTAAATATTTTAGCTAGGTTTTTTGGTTTCTTGTCTTTCTAACCTTTTGTAAGTGAAATTTCTCGCTTAGGATGAAAATCGCTAAGACGTAGACCATTGCCGCGTTTCCGGAGCTGATTGAAGTGGCGATTGAGGCAGAAACATGGCCTAAATATCAGTTTTATTTATTTAGATTCTTTCTGCTTTTCCGAAAGAAGTTAGAGCGTTTTTTACTTACCTAGGCACCGTGCATACAAGTAATTAGCCCCAGTCCAAAGCACCAGAAATGGCAAGACGTATTTGACGATGGCGATGAAGCAAATGCCAGCTTCGCCAAAGACTTGGCCAGCTTCACTAAAGTAGGTTATGTAAGTAAGCTAGCTGGTACTAGTATACTTTGGGGGGCCAAAAAAATTTTTCGACCAAAATTTCTCATTTTCGATTATTTTGTTCAGTTTTTCGTGCTGAATCCAATGAAAGTGTTTCCAGATTTTTTAGATCATGTTTTCTAGTGATAATTAACTATTTATGTTACAATTAATTTCAATAGTTTTTCAGTAGTATACCGTTGCACAAGCCGCAGGTAAGCCTGAGCCTAACCTGAGCCAAAGCCAAAGCAGGAGCCAAAGCCTGAGCCTAAGCTTGAGCCTGAGCCTAGGTCAAAGCTTAAGCCTAAGCCTAATCCTAAGCATACGATCCATTCTTCAACTTTTGGTCGCACGTAAAGGAGATCCACCCCTGCTAGTAATTGTTATTGTTGCCTAATTCTTATGTTGTTGCAATAATAAAAAATCAGGTAACATGTGCATTCGATTCAGCATGAAAAACTGAACAAAATAGTGCAAAATGAGAAATTTTGGCCGAAAAATTTTTTTGGCCCCCCGAAAGTATACTAGTACCAGCTAGCTCAATATATAGGATTGAAATAAGTACTTACTTAAACAGCAGCTTAGTGAGCTTAGAAAAACTAACATATGCGCTTCTTTCATGTCCAATTTTCGTATCCGTGCCGATAGCAAATACACCGGGTAGCAGGATATGGTGAGGCTGGTGTGGAACCACCTAAACTTTGCAGTTTACAACTATTTTTTTAGCTTTTTCAGTTTGCTTTAATGTTTTTAGGCCTGACTTACATCAAGAAGTACGGCGCTGCAAAATCCGAAGTATCACCAGAGAGTGCAGCTCGGCTGAATTGAGTAGAAGCGCACCACGTGCATGCCAGGCCGGCCGCGACGACAAGTGAGGCGATGAGCTGAGAAAGTTAAAGGTAGAATTTGAGAATTATTCTGATCTCCAAGCTTTTGTAGTTTTTTGTAGCTTTTCGCCTTTTTTGATATCAAGGGATGATTTTTTTGTCTTTCTAGACTGTTCAGACAGATTTAATGGTCTTTTTTAGCCATAAACATGGAATATGAACACGTTACACGATTTTTAGGCCTTCTAAACGTTTGATGTTGCTTTGATGAAACGTTTCTAGTTATAACGATACCTAAAAAAGGTATAATTCAGCAATCCTTTGAGCTTTAGCTCGTTTAATCTTTTTTCGCTTTCAGGTACACTTTTGATAGCCCTCACCTCGCCAGTGCCACTCAACGGCATCTTGCAACAAAATGTTAGGTCGGTTTAGACAATACAGCCCTATTTACAGCTGCAGACTACAAAAATAATGTTGAAAATTCCGTTGGAGTAGCCGGCGGTCGCTTCGGTGGTCCTGGTGACCGGGAGCCGCGGTCGCAAATTTTTGGCCGAAAAATGGTGATAAGACTTTTGGGGTGCTGGATTCATTCGGCATCTGATGTCATTTATTCCAAACCCAGGGACCGTAAATTTCTGTTGTTTTTCATCGAATAGAGATCACTAAAAAGTCTAATATTTTTATACAATAAATATAAGGCACTTTCAGGCGAGTCATGGAAGAAACGAAATCACAACGATCATTGCACACCGGTAAATGGCGGGTAAAAAGGAATGTTTTACAAAATGGGACGAGAAGCTCATTTCGATCATCTTCCAGGTTTTCTAGCCGCTGGTGGCCTGGGCGGCGGCTAGTTCAGATTTTGGCTCGCTGGCGTCGGAACGGGCCGTGTCGCGAACGCCGCAAGTTCGCCGACGAAGGATTTGGAGGATATCGGCGGGCAGGATGATCAAGAAGAAGGAGACGACGATCAAGCCGGTGCCTAAAATAGCGTTCGTCAGCGTTTACTTTTTTTTTCCCGAAGTTTTGGGAAATAATCTATTAATAGATAGTTTATAAAAACGCCCGGATAAGCGGTTTCTTTTTATTTTGAAAGTTTCAGCGTAGGTCTTTGAGGTTTATGTTTTAATTAAGGGGGCTTCTAGGTATTTTCGTCGTGTTAACATTTTTTTACTAATTAGTTTTACGTAAAACTAATCCCTTATTTTTATTTTCCAAGTTAAGAACTCGGTTTTTGAAGTTTAGGTTTTACTGAAGGATTTCCAGGTATTTATACTGTTTCTTCTTCTTTCTGATAGAAGATCTAAAATTTTCCAGCGTTGGATTTTTTAGGTGCTTTTAAACTGCAGAACCATTTGCTTACCCGTCAAGAAGAAGACGGTCGGTTCGACGGAGCGGAAGACGACGTCGATTGCTAAAAAATCTTTTAGTTTCGTTCCCATAGATTTTCTAACCTGTATTCAACGGGATCCCGACCAACATCCCGACCGAGATCACCAACGGGTGCAGGATGGCGATGCCGAGATTGATGGTGAAGTTGAACACTAAGAATTAGTATGATAGGCTTGTAACTTCTACTTTTCGCTGTTTGTTGGGATCAAGTCTTTTGACCACCCGTTTCTTTTAAATTGTGAGCATCTACTCACACAAGCTCAAGATGGCGGCCGCAAAAAGTGGTGCCCAAGGCACGGCCGAGATCTCCATCCATTCCCACGGGGTCAGCAGAAGCCCAAAAGCGATACCGGCGTTGATGAACAGGTTCAGGGTGCCGAGGCACGTCATGAACAGGGACACCTGTGGTTATAACACAAAATTTTTTATGTTTTTTAAACTCTTACCTGCGGAAAAGAGGCGCTCCCAATGACCCGCTTGAAGCACACTTTATAACAAGCGGCCGATGCCGCGGAGATGACCGACAACACGATGCCGGGCACCTCGCCGGAGATCTCGCCGTCGAACGCCATCACGGTGACGCCGGCCACAGCGAACACCACGGAGAGGAGCTGAAAATTGGGACATACTTTTGCTCTAGACCACTCCACGTCCTCGTTTCCCTCATAACGCTCTCCTTTCCGCCCTTCTCTCGGCCCATGTAGTATAGTGGTTAGTACTCCACGTTGTGGCCGTGGCGACGGTGGTTCGATTCCACCCATGGGCAACGCTTTTTGCTTTTTGGAGACATGAAGGGGAATTGGGTTGGGATTATAGAAAACTGGATTTTATGGGATTTTTGCTTTTTCTGGGAGACATATAGCCGTTTTTAAGCCAAGGATTCTTTTTTATTTTGCCATTATTTCTATTTTAAGTTGGTTATTTTAAATTTAATAAGTCAAGTCTAAGTAAGTCATAACTAAAAAGTACCATAACAAAGTAACGTAGTAAAAATAGCATTATAAATACCTTATGCGGAACGAATTTATCCCCAAGCAGCAATATGGCCAGAATGTAGACGATGGCCGTGTTGCACGAGGAGATTGATGTGGCCACGGAGGCCGAGATCGAGCCTGAAATGGGCAGATATTTTTGTTTGTATCATTTTGACGAAACTGAATTGTTCAACTATTTTTATAGCCTGTAAAGAAAATCCATAAAAAATCGTAAACCAAAAAAAAATTCAGGAATGCAAAATTGACATTTTACGCACCGAGTGATCTGGAATAGCTGTAGTTGGCTGCCACCCAGAGGATCAAAAATGGCATAACATAGAGCAGCATCGACATCGGGCTGATGCCCCGGCCCTTGAAGATTGTGACGGAATCTCTGGAAAAATTAGAATTTTACGGTCTATCTCTCGAGCTGTTTCTCTAGCTCTCTCTGTCTCTCGCTCCCTATCTCTCTCTATATCTCTCTCTCTCTCACTCTCTTTCTAACTCACTCATGAATCTCCCGCAGGCTCTGCTTCTTCACAAAATGCGCCATCAAAATGTACATCGGGTAGCAGAGCGTCATATGGCACGTTGAAAACCACATCTGAATTCTTTGCTTTTGAAATTCTAAAGCATCTGCTCACCATAAAATACGGTGCATAAAACCGCTTCGGATCCACCGTAAGTACCGTTTTACTAAACTGCGTACTCAACGCCCAGCTCACCGCCACCGTCAATATCACCACGATGCTCAGCCCGAACTGGAAACGTTTAATCAATTAAATTACATGATTGCAATGAAAATCTCATGCTCATTGATTTTTTGGAGAAAGAGCCAGAGATTAAAGAGATTAAGCATGCGGCAGAAAAATAAAAATAAAAATATTAAACGCGGAAAACGCCATTAAACTTACTGGATAATGCTCATTCTTGGAAACCTAGATGGTATGGATTTTATAAATCTTCAAAGTATGTTTTAAGACCAACCTCTTCCAATTTTGTGCGATGTCTTTCCGGGTCACTGGCTGCCGCTTCGAGCTCTTTTTGAGAGAACGAGCCGCCGGTGGCTTCGAGTTCCTTTAATTTTTAGTATACAACGCGATTTGTAAGTGGATTATGAAGCTTTTGGTATAGATTCTACTCTAATCAAAAGCTAGGTGCAAGGCTAAATTCATACCTTGCTCTCCCTTGCTCCAGAAGAAGTACTGGGCGTCGGCTCGTCACTGGTACTGGCCGTCGACCCGTACGGCTCCTTCAACGCCGCCTCCATTTCGGGGCCACTGAAAAGCCGTCAATTTTACGGATCCTCTACCTTTAGAAAATCGATAATATCTTTGATTTAAATCCCAAATTGAAATTTTCTTGATTGGCGTACCATACATATCGAATATTTTGCATCTCGAGAAGTCAGGAGATCAGAGATGGTATTTGGGAGGCTTGGAAAAGGTTGGATCAAAAAGATATTGTTGAAAGGATGAATTATTCAAAGTCAGAACAATTATGCAAATTAGCAGCGAGCGATTTGTAGATTTTCGCTGCCTTCTCGGTACTTCAAAGCTAACTACGCTCAATGAGTTGTACGTATACACCTATGAACATCTGCGTCCTTCTGCTTTCATCATTATGATCGTTAGCAGAAAAATAAATGAAGTGTTCTATGTAATTTTGGACAAGGAATGAAGCGAAATTGAGGAATTGATTTTGGGAACCAGAGTGGGCGTTGGTGTTGTCATTTCCCGGCCAGCTAACTGATCACCACTTTCTCCCGATTCTCCGCTGTGTGTTCCGATTTCCGGGGGCAAGCCGATTATATCGGGTTTACTGATCGGAGCATGGGGCACACTTCAAAGTACTCTCGTTTTTCGGGGAGAGTTGCATATTTTAAGAATGAGGTTGCCATAGATCAGGAGGAAAAGAGAGCTATAGAGCGACAGAGAGAGAGAGAGAGAGAGAGAGAGAGAGGGAGAGGGAGAGATAGCCGCCCCGATAGAGGGATAGATTATAGAGCGCAAGTGAAAGAAGGAGAAAGCGAGAGATTGCGAGAGAAGGAGCGAGCGAGAGAGAATGCGAGAGAGGAAGAGTAGAAGAGAGAGAGCTAAAGGACGAGAGAGTGCGTGAGAAAGCATAGCGAAAAATGAGCGGAATTTAGTTAAAAACTGACCAAACTGAAACGATTTTAAGCCTAACCCCAGAATTTGATGGTAGTAAATTGAAAAAAGTCGGTAGGGCGGAAAACGGACATACCAAAATATTCTTTTTTTGGACAATGACTGCATAGAAAATCCTACGGTTTTCAAATAAGGGGAAATTAAAAGCTTTTTATCTTATCAACCAGCAAAAACGCTTCCCAAAAATATTGACAAGCCCTAGAAATGCACGCGAATGTGCAGAAGAAGTCAGGAAAAATGCGGAGGAAAACGAGGCGAGTCGCCAGGTTATACCCCTGATTTTATCATGGGCAATTGATGTCAGCACCACCCGTTTGTTTCGCTGAATTTTCTTTTACAAGGACGGGAAAAAGTCGTTAAATTGTGCATTCGGCACAATCCGGGGGTCAATCTGGGAAAAGCTGAGAATAACGGGTGTTCTCCACAGCCCATTTACGCTCTTATCACGTAATCCCGCGCCACCATTAAAATGCCAATGTCCAGGTGCCGAAAAATGGCCCGTGCAAAAGTTCAGCGTGAACCGGAAATTTCGGATTTTGGTGTCGCGTGGAGTTTATGTTCGTTGTGCGGGGGTTAGAATTTTTTCCGCGAATTTATCTCAATTAAAGCCTAATAAATAAAATTAAGCCTGGAACCAAGCCTCAAAAAAATGAAGACGAGAAATAACAACCATTATCAATAGAAAACATCCCGAAAAAGGTACAAGCGCAAACCTGAGTAATGGCTCTGTTGCCATGTTTTCGATCGGGTTTTGTGGGCGGAGTAAGCGGTCGATCCAATAAATAAATAGTTGTGCGCGGCAGTTAAGCTGAAAGTCAGATAAAAACTCGGAAATTCAGCATCAGAAAAAATACAGAACCAAAACCGCTTGAAAGGAAGGATCAGTCGATCAACTAACTTTTAATAATGTTCCAAAATACTAGAAATTCACCAAAAACGACAATAGTAAAATTTAGCTAGTGGGAAAAAGCGCTAAAACGCACCATCTTGCCCCTATCGGATTGTGTCACGCAAAAAATAAACCCAGAAATTAGTTCAGACGCCTTTCATACGTTAATACGAATTTTTGTAAGAAAAATGTACAAAATTCCGCTGAAACCTTCATTGAAAAATATTTGTTGCGGAGCGCCTTCGAGCGCCCCCGCCTTTTCAGTCATTCAGTCATCAATAAACAGTCTTTGATACTGTTCGTCCCGTTGCGCACACCACTTCTATCAAGACACAACAACTGGCGATCAAGGATTCCGAACTCACGCAACATCAGGAAAGCCCTGGCCAGAAGCAGCCGCTCAAGCCGCGCCCAGTCAAGGACGAAGTTGGTCAAGCAGATTGGATCAAGCGCAAGGACAAGAAGCTCTACATGGCAAAGAAGCGGCGTCATCCCATGGAGGATTCGATTGAAAGGGAAGTCTTTTTGCCCCTATTTGGCCTTCGCACTTTCTATGTGCCCGGATCGCGTGGCCATGCCCGTCGACAAGAAGGACCAAGTCGAAGCGCGCCGTCTTCGCCCTCAAGCGCAAGAAGGAAGGAAGGATGTTCTCCAGCCAAGGACGACAATAAATGCAGAGAAGGCCACGACGAATGGGTCAACTACGCGGCATCCGGCTGCCGCTCGCCCCACTGGAACTCCGTCAAGGCCGGCCGCGACTTCTTCAAGGAAAGAGGAAAAGACCGCGGTGTCTTTTCACGTTGGAAAAGCCCGCGGCAACGTCCAGGCGTTTATAGCCGTTGAGAGACCGGGACGTCGACTTTTTGAAAGTCCCCGGCAACGCCCGGCTCGTTGATAGCCGAGAAGGTCCGGTGCGCCACCACCGAGTGCCGCCGGCCGATGGTTCACCTCTATGGAAGAGGCCCGTCGTTTAAAGACCGGGAAGCAGACTTTTTTGAAAAGTCCCCGGCAACCTCCGACGGTTGATAGTCGAGAAAGACCGGCGCGCCACTACCGAGAGCGGCCGGCAGATGGTCACCTCTATGGAAGAGGCCCGTCTTGGAAGACCGGAGAGCCGACTTTTTTGAAAAGTCGCCGGCGACGTTACGGCCGTCTGGCCTGAAAGACCGGGACCCAGGCTTTCTGAAAGCCCCCGGCAACCTCCGACGGTTTGTAGTCGAGAAGACCGGCGCGCCACTACAACGAGCCGCTGGCCGATGGATTTCACCTCTACGGAAGAGGCCCATCGCGAAGACCGAGTCTGATGCAGCAGCTCGGCGGACGGTGCCCAACGAGCCCGTCGACAGGAGCAACAAGATCAAGCTCATCATTCCTGCATGAGGGAAGGAGGCGTGCCCGCAGTGCCGTCTACCTTGGTGAAGCAGCGTCGAACGTTGAAGGAAGGAAGGAAGGATGACCGTCGCCCAAGCGCGCGCCAATTAATAAAGGAAAAAGCAAATAAGTTTGACTTATTGTACGTTGTGATTTGATCCCTCGTTTTGCTGTACGCAGTTGTACATTTTCCTTTGATGTCTCCTCTCCTATTCACATTTCCTTTCTTTTCGTTTGTACAGGGAGGTGTTGCGGAGCGCCTTCGAGCGCCCCCGCCTTTTCCCTTCGCCCCCGGCCCCTCGCCTATCCAGTGCCCTTTCCACCGTAGCGGGGTCTCTCTCCCCACTGGGCCAGCGATGGCATTTTATTTCCCCAGTTCCAATTCGGTTCTAATTTCTCCTCCTCTTGCCGCCATGTTGCTCACCGAATAAACAGTTGTTCGTAAACTGTTCGTCCCGCTGCGCACCACACTCTATCAAGACACAACAATATTCATAAAAACTTGCGGAGTCTTAAAACTGCATTTTTCAGGCAGTTTATGCAAATTTTACGGCGTCCAATGGCTCATTCCTTTTTTCAAAATTTGTCCGAAAGTCTACAGCGGAAATTCAGAAGTTTATCTTTCAATAGTTTCAAAACGTCAACCACATTTACGAAATGCGGGGATGCATCGGAGCCCCGGGGGCTAGAGACCATGGAGAAATAGAGATTGAGAGAAGCGGATGGGGGATGGAAAAGCCTTGGCCGGCTGCAAGCAAAAGGAAGTGTGGGATTCCCATGGCCTGGAGCCGGACAGAGGAGAGCTCGGAAAGAAAACACAGCTGCATTTTGAGCGTTCTTTGGAGCCGGGCGGAGTTGTGGTCAAGGTGATTGAGAGAGGCTTAGTTGAGCATAACGTCGGCTTCGCTTTCGTTTAGCTTCGGCTTAGCTTAGGCTTAGCTTCGGCTTCGCTTTCGTTTAGCTTTGGCTTAGCTTAGGCTTAGCTTAGGCTTAGCTTAGCCTAGCTTAGGCTTAGGCTTGAGCTCAGCTTAGGCTTGGCTTGGAAGCAGCGTCAGGCTTGAGCCAGGCTAGCGAGGCTTGGCCCAGCCAGCCAGCCTTAGCCAGGCTTAGCTGGGCTAGCTTGGCAAGCAGCTTGGGGCCAGCGGAGCAGCCTAGGCTTAGCTTAGGCTTAGCTTAAGCTTGGCTTTTGCCTAGCTTAGGCTTAGCATAGGCTTAATTGTCTCTGTTGCGGAGCGCCTTCGAGCGCCCCCGCCTTTTCCCTTTGCTCCCGGCCCTCACCTTATCCAGTGCCCTTTCCACCGTAGCGGGGTCTCTCTCCCCACTGGGCCAGCGATGGCATTTATTTCCCCAGTTCCGTTCTGGTTCCAATTCGGTTCTAATTTCTCCTCCTCTTGCCGCCATGTTGCTCACCGAATAAACAGTTGTTCGTAAACTGTTCGTCCCGCTGCGCACCACACTCTATCAAGACACAACAGTCTCTAATGGAAAAGAAAACAAAGATCACAAACCTCACTTGAAAAACCTGACAGCGGCTCAAAGCGGCTTCGCTTTGAAGCTTAGAAACTACACTTCAAGCCAAACTACGCTGGGCTACGTGCCAAACCTAACCACACCACCGGAAAAACCGGAAGTGGCTTAAATCATCAATAAAAACATAAGAGGTGTCGATTAGCGAGGTGCAAAGTGCAGGGAAACGAGGGGAATCTGGCGATCCATCGCCCCCGGCTTC